TTTATAGACAAGGCTCACAGATGTTAAGTAACTTGGAAGTAAGAGGTAAATGATCTGGGATTCAGACTCATGCCAACTTGTTTCTGTAATGCATTCCGCAAATACTGCCCGGTAAAGCCTCCACCGTGTCACAATGGCCTTGGTCAGGCAGTCTCCTCCTTGTTTCATAAAAAATGGACAGTCTGTTTATAATTCATTGGTCAAATACACACTCTGTGTTATGCTAAAGTCACAAATATAATTATAAATCTTTGCCAAACGCACTAGACTTTCTGAATAGGAATATATTCCTAGGGTAGTGTAGTCTCTGGTAATTTCTACTGACAAATTCAGCAAACACATTGCTTCTGTTACCACCAAGATATAAACACACGGGATTTTTCTCACTGGAATAAAGCCTGCTGAAACTATTTTTGCAGGAAAATTTCCAGGTCTTTTTAAATATCAAAAAAACTGAGGAAATGTCAATACTTTAAAATAATTCTTAACCCAGTAAAAACTGGCACAGGGCCTTTTATTTTCTTGCACTCAGCAAATCTACAAACCTATAAAAATTCAGAGTAGTTAAGGGCATGCGTTTTGAAGTAGTTCCATTTACGGTGAGTCACTTCCAAACTCAGTCTTTACACTGAAAAAAATTTTTAACCTGGATATGTTGGCAAAAATTGCTTTTAAATCCTATGACTGTCATGTGACGGAAGAAAAATCAAGTCTATGTGACATTATATAGTTTTCTCCAAAAACTATTTACCATGGGAGAAAGAAAATGAATATTCTTATTGACTCTGAGGTACCATTTTGCTTTATGGTGCAAACAAACTCAGAAACTATAGCTCCTAATCCTATACTGGTCTAGATCTTTGTAAAACTAAAATAAAAGCAAATAAACATAGTAAGTAAATCAGTATGGCAACAGGAGAGTTGAAGGGAGCAGAGAATTGGATCAACAGGTGGCAGGTATTAACTGTTTTAACTTGAAAGAAATTCAAAAGTATAGAGTAGGTTCTGTGAAAATTCTTAGAAGTTAAAAGAAATAAAGGAAAACGTGTGGAAGAAAAGGTTCTAATTCAGAAGATGTGCTATTGAACCAAACAATAATTATCCTAAAACTTATTTTCTTTCAAAAAACAATGTACTTTATGTTATTTCCTTATATATGCAGCATAATGTGCAATGTAAAATGATCTTATTTTACAGATCTGAAAACTGAAGCACAGGTTAAATGATTTGCTAATAGTCCCTGTGGACAGCCATGGCTCAAATATAAATCTTAGGACGCTAAGGCGAGCATTTTCAATGTTACTGTTATACAGTGGGTGTGACAGTAACTGTTCCCAGTGTCTATACAAAGTATGTAAAAGAGAAACACAATGAACCCTCCCTATCTGTGAGTTCTGCATGTACGGATCTAACTAAGCTCATATCAAAAGTTGTTGTCATCGGTGAGCCTGCTCCCAGAACAAGGATCGGGAGCTCCAAATGGGAGGGTAAGGTGAGGAAGCAACAGGCAGACTCTGGGAGGTTTCTGGAACACTTCTGCTTTATTCAGGAAATGCACAGGCTTATGTAGGGATGGGAGGAACATTTAACGTTTGGCGATTATCTTATTAGCCAGACATGGCGGAGTGATTTTTCTTGGGGAAGCGAAGGAGTCATGGACTAGGGGCGGAGATGTAGACTGTTGGACCCAGCATCTACGCACTTAAGCGAGTTAGCTCAGCCTTAGCAAGGTCTCCGACTTAGCTCAGGAGACAGGAGTGCAGCACACCTGGCACAGCCAGGCTTGAATTTCTCCCACAAAAAATATTTGGGATAAATATGTGTCCCTTGAACATATAAAGACTTTTCTCTTTTGTCATTAGAGTATTCCCTAAATAATACAGTTTAACAGCTACTTACATAGCATTTTGGTATAAGGTATCATAAGTAATTTCGAGATATAAAGGAGAATTAATAAGTTACATGGGAATATTATGCCATTTTATATAAGGGCTGTGAGCAACTGTAGATTTCCATAGGAAGGTCCTAGACCCAATAATGAGGGTTGATTCAATAGTCTTTACTTATCTGGAGTTTTGCTTCCATGGATTCAGTTAAATGGAAAATTTTAAAACATAAACAAAAGGTTTTTTTGTTTCTTTGTTTTGGTACTGGGGATCCAACACAGGACCTTGCACTTGCGAGGCAGTCAGCAGCACCACTGAGCCAAATCCCTGGCCCAATGACCTAGGTTTTGATTGCACACCAAGCATATTGAAATCTTATTCCATCTCGTTCTATTCTGCCTAGGATGTGAATCACTCCTTTGTGCAGTGTATCAATACTGTATATGCTCCCTTCCCATTAGTGAATGGTGGTCCTCTCAGTTAGCAGATCCATTGTCAAAGTACCAAAGTGCTTGTGCTCAAATAATGCTTTGTTTACTTAATAATGGCCCCAAGGTACAAGAGTTGTGATTCTAGCAATTTGGATACACTAAGGACATCATAAAGTGTTTATTTTAAGTGAAAACTCCTCTACTTAGTAAGATAAGAAAAAAAAATCATGCTGAGGTTGCTAAGATGGACACTTAGAAAAAAAATCTATCTATGAAATTTTAAAGACAAAAAATTTGTCAAGTTTACTGTTGCCTCTTAAACTTAAAAGTTTAGATATATAAGGCATTACATTTATATCTGTTTAGGCAAAAGGATATGATATCTATAGAGACCAGTACTATATGCAGCTTCAGGAATACAGCGAGGGTCTCAGCATGCATTCCTGATGGGGGAGCTGTCTACTATGTTCATTTCATACAGTTTTGGCATAAAAAGAAAGCATGATGACCTCTATTGCACATTAAAGTGAGATGAAGAGGTCACACTATTCAAAGGCTTAAAATCTAAGAAAACAGCATTCTGTGGTCATTAGATTAACTTTAAATCATGTATAATATCCCAACAAATGCTGTAAGAATGCTTTTTACCATTAACAAAAACTCATGGGTATACTTAGATAAAATAATTGGAACCACTGTCCACTTCTGCAAAAAATTCACTGATCTCACAAGTTATCGTGTTTGACTGTGTGAAGTTATATTTCAGTAAAAAGATTTTTTAAAAATAATTTTAAAAGACCTATACATTATTATATACTTTCAAAAGAATTACTTAAAATCAATTGCCATTCTGAATATATGAGGATGTTTCTACTTAATTCAACTACTTTCTTTTTAATAACAGTAACCACACTCTTCAAACATACTCTTAATTTTGAGATTATATGATGAATTTTCATTAAAGGATAACTCATAGTGACCTTTTTATAATGAGGCCTGAAAGTTATATCTTTGAACATTTAATTGTAACAGTTAATTCTTATCTTCAATTTAAAGATAACTGAATTCCACAAAATGTAGCTTTAATAATTTCTTTTATAAAGCATATATAGTAAAAATTAAATTTAACTTATATTTCGGCTTCCTTTACAAGTTCTTTTATGATTCTAATTTGTTTATTTAAATTCCTTATTTCCTATCACTTTTCCTGCAACTAAAAAGAGGAAAAAGAAAATGCTGCTTTGCCAATAGTGAATAGTCTTGAACATATAGAATTTCCATTTTAAAAGTTCAATTCAATATGCTGCAAAAAAATTATATTCATCCAATTCTGGAAATTCATACTGCTTGATAAGTGTTTAAGAAAATTATAAAATTGATTTGTATGTTATTTTTATGAATGTTCCATTAATAAACTATGTATTCAAAAAGAATTTTGGCTATCCACTATAACCCTAACAAATACATTATTTTATTAATGTATTTACGTATCCTTTCATCTGTTCCTATTTCAAGTAAGATAGCAGGCAAAAATTTTTAAAAAGGAAAAAAAAAAGACACAAAAAGGGTATAAAGTTTTACATTAAAAAAGAAACTCTGTATACAAACCAAAGAAATTTTTTTCAACCCCAATTTTGGCCTAATTGGCTGGGATATCTACAACAGGTCTTTGGGGGTATGCTACAGAGTTCAATGTTTGCATACTTCAAAGTTCATATATTGAAATTTAATCCCCAATGTTAGCATATATAAAGGTGGGCCTTTATGGATTAGGTCATGAGTACAGTGTCCTCATAAATAGGATCAAAGTCCTATAAAAGAGGGCCCAAGAACTCCCTGACCCCTTCCGCTATTTAAGATTGAAGTCAGAAATGACTACCTCTGAGCAAGAAAGCCCTCACCAAAACTGAATCTATTGCCTCATGTTCTTAAACTTCCCAGGATTCAGACATGTGAGAAATAAATTTCTGTTGTTTACAAACCACCCAATCTATGGTATTTTGTTATAGCTGCCCACACAGGCTAACACAAGGTACACATTCAAAAGCACACAGTATGTAAATCTATCAACTAATGTTTTTTATAGCATCTTTCTAGTAATGTCACATTTTACAAGGTCTACAAGCAAGTCAGTTATAAGGCTACACCAGTCTAAGCATGGTGATAATACAGAGAGAACTCAGAAGATGAATGTTCAGTCAGAACTAGGTGTCCTGGTTAAGTATGTCCATGGATCTCAATGATGGACTAACAGAAACACAGGTAGCAGCTGATCTCTGCATTAGAAGTTAGAGCTTTTATGGAAACAATTTTAAGTATGTCTGAATGTTTCATGTAATTGATATTGCCTTAAATAAATGAAAACATTAAATGTCTCATTCTCAAGTTAAGGTATTCTTTAATATTGTCTTAGACTTTTCAAAATATAAAATGTAAATATCTTACATGATTAGAAAATATAAAACTAGTTTATCAAGCCAAATTTTTTACCTGCTTACACAAATTTCAAATTTATCAAGACTAAAATATGTTTACCTTTTCTGTGACAAATGTCAAGCTAGTTTATCAGTACCTGAAAGTTAAAGAAAAATTACTAGCACAATATAAAAGTCTTACTTTCCTATCACTGGTATGGCTTGACTACATTTTTTAAAAAATGGAGCAATGAGACAAAATATAATACCTTCTAGATGTTTTTCTCCCAAACGATAAAATAATGAGTCCTGAGAATAAAGTTCTGAAATAGCTCACAATCCAAATACTCCCTGAAAATTAAGAGAAATATATGTTACTTCAAGTATATAACAAAAAACTGCACAATATGTTTAAGCAGAATTCTCAAGTACTAAGTTATCTCAGAAAACAATAAAAAAGATGTATTTCAAGGTAAAAAGTATTCCCATACATGCTTTCCTTGAACATAGCTGTTGGCCACATCTGATAAAACAACTGGTATTTCAGAATTATTTACAAAGATATAACAATACATATTTATCATTATACTAACATAAAGACTGTCACCTATTCTCAAGGATATGAGAAGTTAATGTCAAAGATGAAGAGGAATTTCCATCAAGGATTCTAAGAGAAAGAATATTAGAATTATTTGAAGTTGTTGCAAAGTATGAAATACCTCATTTTCCCCTCTGACAAACAGGAACAGAAAACATTAAACTAAGAATGAGATCCATCCTAGATATATAGATACTGACAAGTGGGAAAGTCTACACTTAAAAAGGAAAAATGTTTTGGTAAGCCTGAGACATAGCCTACACTTTGATACTGCAATGGCTGAAGAAACTTTATAATGATCAATAGGCCAACAAACAGAAAAGCTACCTGGTGACGGGGAAAGACTCAAATTTCCTGATTCCATTATACCAGCATTCCATTTATATCAGCCACTGCACGTATATCTGGTTTAGTGAGCTCGAACCCTCAATTCCTAAGCCATAAAACTATGATCAATTCTTAAAGATTATACCTTTGATGAAAATAAACCCGTAAACCTGAATTATAACCTCCCAAATTAAAGTCACTATTTTTGATTACCACTTAATTTTACCGGGACCTTCAGTCTCCTTAAAATAATATACAGGTACCAAATTCCTTAAGCCTGGTGGTTTCCCAACATCCTAGCTAAGCAGATTCTTCAACCACAATGGTTCTACATCACTTTCTGTATATCCTGCTTATTGTTAGTCTCGCCTCGCGTCCTTCTCTGAATCTCCTAATATGCACCATGATGCAAAGAATATGGCTGATGCTCAGTAACTGCTAAATTCAACTTATGCAACACATTTAAGTAAAAATAATACCGTAAGACAAAAGATGAGTTCTATGAACCAAGTGCAGCGAAAAATACTTGTCTCTCACTTACTGCTACACATCCACACTCACTCACAACTCCCTCTCAGTTTTTCTTGAGGAAGACTCCTAGTACCTATGGGAGTGCTCAACCCCACAGACAACTGGCCCTTGGCAGATCTCCCTTCTGCTCAGGTGAGTTGGGCCTCAAGTCCCTCTGTCTGAGGTTCTGCTCCAACTGGGATGGTAAGTGGACACAAACAGGAACTCTCTAAATACAGACGTGGGTAACGCCAGAGCAATTGTCTATTAAACACATGTATGAATCAAAGACAACGTGAATCATAACTAAGAGCAGAATTTCCCCAAGACCTTTAAAATGGACAGAAGCCATCTCCTTAAAATAGTTTATAACTGGAGAGAAGACAAAACAAAATAAACAAGAAGACAAAAACAACACAAAACAAACAAAAAACCCTGAAGAGACCTCCAACTGATTGAGGGGGGAAAAGCATTATCATTTCCGATTAGGACACTACTTTTTCAGCAGCTAAATAAAAACATTACCAAATCATTTTATGTAATAAAACTTAACCTTATTTTGACCTTCCTCATAAAGCAAACAAACCTCTCTGTCCAATAAGGTTCCATCTGAACTATGTAAGATGATAAGCAATACCTTAATTGCATTCATTTACATGACTTTGAAACTATTCTGGGCTGAAGTCACTGACTGCAAGGTCACAGAATACAAAAAAAGTAGAATGTAAGCAATTTACTGAGGAGAAATGATCCACTTAAAACTGTGGAAGCACCTTCTCTACCCCCCATCAAGAGATTCCAAAATGCCTAATGCAATCAACAGGTGCAGACAGCTCTATTTCAAATACATCACACGCATACATATCCACACATTAAATTTATAAATATATTTAAGTAAGTTCATCACACACAATAAAATCAATCTGCCTAAATAGATTAAAAAATAATTCTATATCCTAATAGCACTTAAAACTAAAACACAAAATAAGGTTACTATTTCTTCATTGTTTAATAAAAATTTGTAAACACTGAAGTCAGGCTACAAAGCTATTGTTTTAGGAAAACAATTACAAACAGGATATTTTAAACAAATTAAGAGTTTCTGCTTTTATTTTTATAACTTAGGCATAGTTCAACTAACTTGCTTAGAGGAGCATGCTTGCAATTTCTTAATTGCAATAGTACCTAATTAGTAAAAGGAAATACAATATAGTAACAGAAATTTCCATAGATTATGGGTACAGTGTATATTCCTCTAAACTTTCCTCAGAATATATTAAGGAACACAAGAACAAGTTAACCACAGAAAATAGTTAACCCTTAGTTTAGTCAGTAAATGCAATTTTATACCAACTACACTTTACGTAAGTTTTTAATGAAGAAAGAAGTAAGTCCAAGTTCAGGTTCAAGCACAATTCAATCTCAGGTGATTATAGTAAATTCCACCACAAAGCAAGTATCCGTGTTTATTGTCTAAACTTTTTTTTTTTTTTTTTTT